TACACAGACTTGGTAAGGAATATAATCCGCAAATATTTACTGAGCATGGGCTCAAGGATCTTTCACTCTAGGGGGTAAAGTAGACACCAGGTAGGAGATCACAATAGCATGTGTAAAATCACGTGTTGGGAATAGCACAGAATGTTATAGGAACACCCAGGGTGCCTTCCTAACTGATCTTGAGAAAGAGGAAGAGTTAGCCCAGAGCAGGGATGTTTGGGAAGATACCTTCCACCAGAGGGGACATTATGGATAAAGAGTGGGGAGTGAGCGCCCAATGCGCTCAGGGGAGCTGGGATGGCCACTCTGATGGTGTTGAGGTGCTAAGCAGAGTGAAGACAGGAGTTTTATGCCGATGACAATGGGGACCACAGGGAGGAATTCAGAGATTTGAAAACAGACTCAAAGACTTATTCTGCAGAAGGAGATGGGTGTATAGAAATGATGAGGACATAGTCCCTGACTCCGAGGAACTCATCACCTCCTGGGGGAGGCAGATATCTAAGCAAGTCATCACAGAACAATGTGTTTAGTTCTAAATATAGCACACACAAAGGCCTGGGGGACTCAGAGGAGGAAGCCATTGGCACTGCCCGGGAGTAGAAAGAAAGGCTTTGTGTAGGTGACAGTTGAGCAAGATGACAGATGAGAGGGTGGCAACCAGTCCAACCAGAGGGGGTGGACCCTTGGGTGGGACCAGGAAAGGCCCCTCCAATTCATTACCTAATATTAAATTAACCAAACACTTGCCACTGTCTTCAAGTCCCAGCCTCAGGAATTTGTGTTAGAGGTAAAGAGTGTTATGTTGGAACTTCCAGCTCCTTCCTCAAGGACATGGACTGTTTGCTGATAGAGAACATCCTATCTGGTGCATTCTGGACACAAAGGGAGCTGTTCAGAAGGATTTGCAGGACCAGGGAGCTCTGCTCATTTCTGGAGGCCATCATCACAGAGCTAGAAGCAAGTAGGACTAGTGTGGGTGGACCTGGATCTGCACCCGCCCTGGTCCGCCCCACACGTTGATTCAGAATGAAGTTTCTGTGTCACGTGATCAGACAGAATCTTCTTTCTCTTTAGCAGCACCAAGCATTGCAAAGGATTCAACTGGAAAGAATACACACTTACTGAGTTCTTCTTATAGCCTGACACGTAAGGGTATCACTGAAGCACAGAAAATCGTGGGATTCGGGAGCCTCAGTGTTTTCCATCACGTGAGGCTGAAAGTTTCCCTCTGTGCTGACGGTACAACCCCCTGCTTGCTCTGGAGCAAGTACGGTCAAGGGGGAGTCAGGAACCAGATCAGCATAATTCTAAGTTCTGTGTGGTGGGAGCGGTGGAAATGTTGAAATGGGAACTATATACATGGGTTGACAATAAAGGGATGGGCAGTAATTTATCAGGTAAATAAGAGGAAAAACATGTAGGAATAGCAATATTAATAAAAGTTAATAGGACATTTCATACAAAAGATTATTTTGTGGTAATAATAAAAAACTGACAAAGATAATAAATAACATAGCAGTAAATATATATGATAAAAGCTCATATATATATAGGTAAATGTAATTTTCTCGTATCTGTAAAACTCTTATTCTTATGTTTAAGCTAGTTTTTTAATATTAATGTTAATTTTTCATAAATTGTCAAAGAAGCTAAAATAAAATGTATCTTATCCTGTCATTCCACATGACAGCAATGTTTCAAGATTATTATTTGAAATTGGGTTTGCTGTTGACCTTTTTTGTCCAATAACCCTAGGCTGTTCTTGATTTGAAAATCTGCATCCTAAGATAAAAGCCGGTATCCATTAGGAACTGCTGTAATACACCAGCATCAATCACACAATTAAATGACTGGGACAAACAATAAGGATAAAGTGCCGACCCTGTCAACTCAGATTTTAAGGGTTTCCCGACAACAGAAGGCAGTGAAGGTCACGCATCCCTGCACCTAAAAAATGAACCTGCATAAATCCAAGGAATGAAAATGCAGGATATGCAAAAGAAATGTATACACACTTTAGTAGCTAATAGCTCAATTTTGAAAAGAAATGTATTTTAATAAGCACTGCCTTTACAATTATTCAAAGTGTGTGTATACATTTTGGGGCGGGGGGGGGGGGGACATCCTATATATTAAAACAAACCAAATAATTCTCTCAGAAGGGTTCCAGTCAGTAAGCTGCATGGTGCAGGACACCGTGAGCTACTTCTTCTCGGGATTTCCATGAATATGTAATTAGGTTTGTTCCAAAAATTGGCTGAGGTTTTTCTCTTGTGTGTGGTTCCTCTTTTTAAAAACTATTCCTTTATTAATATGGCTCGTATCAAATTGCAAACATAAATTCAACAAACAGCCACAGTGGTTTTAAAAAGGAGTGGGAGGTATGGCATACTTGCTTGCTTCACTAAATAAACTTAAAATGTTATTATTTTATTTATTTTTGGATCCTTGCCTCTGACCCTGGAGGATTCCATTGTAAATTGTTACCTTCACAACAAACATTAACCTCCTTTTACTTTATCTGTCTCCAGCAGAAAAGGAGAAGAAAAAAAACAAACGTAAAAACCAACTTCTTATGTTTGTTGGTTTGGTATAAGAATACTGAATAAGCAAAATTATAGAATTTTTATAAATGTTTAAGAAAAATTATCCTCATAGCTGAGCAATTAACAATTATTTTTATTTTGTATATCTTTCCATCTTCTTGTCTACAGATAGTTTTAAGCAGAATATAAATGCAAGTGTATATTATGCTAGATTCCTCTTGCCCTGGAGATGGCTTCCAGGAGTGTCTAGGGCTACAAGCTTCCTCATTTACTCAACATCCAAGAAGAGATAACTGCTGGTCTTTATCGGGCTGACTCAGGTTTGCACCATAACAAAACCACTTGCTGAATCCAGCAGGCCAGTTCCAGAGAACCAAGCAAAGGAAGAAGAGAGCCACTCATTCATAAACTGACTAAAAGAAAAAGGGAGCACTAAACAAATAGGGATTTATTCCATACTAGAGGCCTGGTGCACGAAATTCGTACACTGGGGGAGGGGTTCCCTCAGCCCAGCCTGCCCCTCTCACAGTCCGGGAGCCCTCAGTGGATGTCCTACTGACGGCCACAGTCTGGCAGCAGAGGCTCGGAGCAGGCGTCCTGTGTGTGTGTGTGTGTGTGTGTGTGTGTGTGTCTGCTGGGGGCCTGCACCCAGCCACACCGTGGAGGCTTGGAGCAGGCGCCCCTCTGTGTTGATCTCTCAGGCTCCTGGCCTCCACTGCGTGTTTTTCTCTCCCTTGAGCTGTGGCCAGGGTGGGGTGCTGCCTGCAGGCTGTGCTTTCCTGCTCATGGATCACCGGATCACTGCAGAGACTGGGGGCAGGCCCTGCTGGGTGCTGCCTGTGGGGAACTTGCCTGCCTGCAGTATGCAAATTACCCGCCATCTTTGATGGCGACTAATTTGCATATGGCGCTGATTAGCCAATGGGAAGTGTAGCGAAGGTACAGTCAATTACCCTTTTTGTCTTTTATTAGATAGGATTAAGAGAAATTCCAGCTGTAAGTGCTGATTGTGGGAGCGGGGAGCTGAAAATTGCTCCTTTTGGTGGATCATGTTTTAAATTTCTGTGCTAGAGTGCAGGTAAGGTTTTCTATGAGATCTCAGGGAAGATACGCAAGGTTAGGACTCTGCAATTATGAATATTTTTGGAAACAATAGTAAGCACTTACTGTTTGAAACCAATCGGGATCCAACCTTGGATGTTGGGTGAGGTCAATCCCAACAACATGGTTTTCCTATGGGAAAGGAGAATGAATGAAGAGTTGGTGGTTGAGTAGGTAACTGATCTCTCCGAATTCATTCACTGAATGACTGAGAAAGACAATAAAAATGGCCTCTGACAGTAGCTGGAGGAAGACAAATACGCAAAGATTGCGTGGGAAGCCCTACAACTCTTGGAAAAGGTCTTCTAGGCAAGAAACAACTAAGAAACATGCCCATTTTACCTTAATAATTTACCCATTAATATTCCCACCCTCCTTTTTCATGTAGAGATCTGCAACTTAAAAAAAAAACAATGACTGAAATGCTGTCAAGCAGTGAGATAATTCTTTATTTGCTCCCCGGGACAAGGGGAGTTCATTTTCACAGGAAGGAGTCTTTGCATTGCCAACAGCATAGAAAACCCAAGAGCCAAGACTTTCTCAAGGAAAACCTTCCAGAGCAAATCCAAACCACGGAAGTTTCATCATCAAAAGGGACGCAGAATACCAGCATTTTCTGTTTCCTCATTCTACAAGAGCCATCTTACTTCCTGTTTCCAAAAGTTAAAACTGGTTGCTTAATTATTGATTTTCTTAAAAGCATGTGGACAAACACACTAAGAGTTAAGAAGAGTGTTCTTGTACTGTAAGAGGACATTCAACAAACTTCAGAATACACGTTTCAAAGTCAAAAAGAACAAATCCTGTCTCTGCAGCTCATTGGCTGTGTGATCCAGAGCGAACTGCCTGACCTCTCTGTCCTGTTCCCTTAAAAAGACGGTGAGAATATCCTCCCAATAGGATTCCATTGAAGACCAATTGAAATAATAATTATAAACCACATAGCCAGTGCCTACAAAATCACTCAATACTTTGGCTATATTGTAATTATGACAACACCTTGACCACCTGCCTCTCAGTGCGGATGCTGAAAAAGCAAGGTGCACCCTTGTCCTGTCACCTCGCAACTCAAAGAAGCCATGACACCCCCTCCTACCCCAACAGATGACAGGTGGGGGGGGGGCTTCTGAGAAAGATTTTTGTTCCTAGGTGAAAGTGAAAGGCATGTTCTTTTCTCTTGCCACCTTGGCAGACCTTTACCTCTACACTCGTACGAGGCCAAGTAAGACTTGCTATCTGAAGATGTGGCCATCATTTGGTGACCACAAAGCAGTAAAACTAAAGACAAGACCTAAACATGCTACCGATGTTGGAGAGGAAGGAAAGGAAGAGCAAGGGACCCCCACAACATTGTCACCAAGCAATCTGGAAACACCTACTAAACGTCTTAACAAGTTCACACTCTGTGTCCTTTCTGAACAGGTAGATTGTTTCTCCCAGTTTAGTATTCTGCATATGACTAAAGGACATGTTCTGACTCAGATTAAGCATTGGGACCTACAATATTACAGGGGTTCCAAAGATATAAGATAAAGGTAACTCAAGAACAATGCAGCATAACTGCCAAATCTGTGAATAACCAGCCTAAAACAACTTGTTAATTCATAGAAATATTTACCTGCAGAGCAAGAACCAGCTGGAATGATTCCAGGCTTCTTCAGCCTACAAATGAATTTAAAATAAATGTTAGACTTCTCTGGAAGGAATTTCAAAACACCTCATTCATTGAGAAATTACTTACTTACCAAAACACCTCATTCATTGAGAAATTACTTACTTACCTACCCTCCAGGCACAGCTATGAAGACCACAGAGTTCTTGAGAGTCAGGGTTGTGTTGTTTTGTTTTGTTTTTGTATTTACAGAGCAAACATCTCTGGAGAGACTGATAATTTCATTTTGTTTTCATAATAATTCATCTTCGTAATATCCTAGTGGGGAGGAGAGATGAAAGATCATTGCTACCATTTTAGAGAGGAAAAGATACAAAGAACATGAAATTAAGGGATTACCTTTAAACCATAGTCAAAATGTAGCCCCACAATAAAGACAGCCAGCAGAGGTTAGATTCCAGATATCTTAAATCCCTGTCATGCGCTCTCCTGATGACGCAACAATAATCCAAATGAATGACTCAGGTCCTTGCACCTCCCAGAAACTATGCTCGGATGAAGAGAGAACACAGATCAAAAAGGCGAATCAAGCCAGCTCGTTCAAACCATTGTCGTGAAGGCATCCTGGCCATATTTTGACTTCTAAAATTCGGAATAATCTTCATAAAGTAAAATAAACAGAAAAGGGGAAAATATAAGGCAATCAGCAACACAAAAGAATATAAAAGCATACTTAAAAGTCAGAGGGATTTTCAAAGAATGGCTACAAAGAAAACAAAAATGGAGTAACCAGGAGTAGCAGAGAAGGAAAAAGTATTTTAGGAATATAAATATTATTTGAGTTAACTAAGGTTAAGCCAGCCTTTTATTTTCATTTGTTAAGGCACACTACAACACTTTCAAAATAATGTGAGGTGTCTTGAGATAAAGTCTACATAAACCATAGAGCCTTTAAAACAGAAATAAAATTGCCTGAGTGCAAACCTTGCTCTGCCACATACTGGCCACGTGACTCACCCTCTCACTGCCTCAAGCTCACCAATCAAGCTTACGTGGGAGCGAGCAATAATAGCACCAGCCTCAAAGGGCTCTTACCTCATTTAACATTAATTTTTCTGAGGAAGCTTACAGAGCATCAAGCAGGATAAATGCAAAAAATAAAATTAAAAGTCTACACCATGGCATGTCATTTTCAAAGTACAGAAAATCATTGCAGATAAACTCCTGCAAGCAGCTAAGGGGGGGGGGGGGGGGAACACCTTACTTATAGAGGAACAAAGATAATAATTACATCTGACTTCTCAGAAACCATGAAGTAAGAAGAGAGTGAAAAGGCAATTTCTAAACCAGGGGTCCTCAAACTTTTTAAACAGGGGGCCAGTTCACTGTCCCTCAGACCGTTGGAGGGCCGGACTGTAGTTTAAAAAAAAACTATGAACAAATTCCTATGCACACTGCACATATCTTATTTTGAAGTAAAAAAACAAAACGGGAACAAATACAATATTTGTATTTGCATGTGGCCCGCGGGCCGTAGTTTGAGGACCCCTGTTCTAAACTGTTGAGAGCAAAAGAAAACCACCAAACTAGAATTCTCTACCCTGCGAAATTATCCTTCAAAAGTGAAAGGGAAAGAAAGAGGTTCTCAGACAAACAAATACTGAGGAAATGTGTTGCTGGCAAACCAGCTTTGCAAGGAATATGAAAAGAAGTTCTACAGACAGAAGGAAAATAATCTAAGTCAGAAACTCAGACCTACGTAAAGAAAGAGCATCAAAGAAAGAATAAGTGTAGATAAAATAAAAAAGTTTTTTTTTCCTTTTTCTTAATTGAGCTAACATATAACAGTTTGTTCAAAATAGTAATAGCAACAATGTATTTACATATGCTTATGTATATTCCTATGCCTATGTATGTTTACATATAAATGAAATAAATAACACAATGATATAAGGAACTAGAGTGGGGAATTAGGATTATTTTGTTATTATAAGGTACTCACACAACCGGTGAAATGTAGTGGTATTAAAAAGTGAACTTGGGCCTGGCCGATGTAGCTCAGTGGTTGAATGCTGACCTATGAGCCAGGAGGTCACGGTTCAGTTCCTGTTTGGGGCACATGCTCAGTTTACGGGCTCAATCCTCAGTGTGGAGTGTGCAGGAGGCAGCCAATCAATGATTCTCTCTCATCATTGATGTTTCTCTCTCTCTCTCTCCTCCCTTCCTCTCTGAAGTCAATAAAAATATATTTTTTAAAAAGTGAACTTGGGGTTAATGGTAAGTATATATTGCAAACCTAAGGCAATCACTTTTAGAAAAAAGTATTTGATAGGCTAAGGAGAGAAAATGGAATCATATAAAATGTTCAATTAAAACTGCAAAGAGCAGATAAGGTGTGGAAAACAAAAATAGGAACAAAAACAAGGAAACAAATGAAAAACAGTAACAAATATGTTAGATACTAATTCAAGTACATCAATAATCACTTTGAGCATCAGTGGTCTAAATGGACCAATTAAGATAGATTATTGGAGTGGATCAAAAAACAAGACCCAACTATATGTTGTCTATAAGAAACTCACTTTAAACATAAAGGTACATATAGATTAAAAGTAAATGGGGGTGGGGGGTTGATTGGTTATGGATGGTTGTTTCTCCTGCCATGGACACGTGAGAAATGTCCTCTTTTCTTTTTAAGCAAGATAGTCTTAAGGTCCTTGAGTTCTGAACTTCCTTGCCTAGAGAAGAGCTAACTCATTTTGTGAGACACACTGGGGAAGTGAGTTTTGTTTTAAGAGTAAGAGAAGAATATGGCCCTTCGTAGCGGTCTTCTGTAGGCGGAGGGCCTTGGATGCAGGCTGGCACCATGGCCCCAGTAAAGCACTGAGCACCCTGGGTTTTGGAGTTTGAGCCAAGATCCACAAGGCCAAATTTGATGTTGAGGGTGTGGGAGCCACCCTAGGAAGCTGCCTTCTAATAAAATATTGTTATAGTCATGTCTTGTTACATAACAAATATACCAACCTTCAAGTTGTTGTTAACTTAAGACAAAAAACATTTTGTTGGTGATTTGGCGGGTCTGGAATTTGGGTGGGGATTAGCCGGGGATTCTTCTATTCCACGAAGGGCTGACAAAGATGTCGCTGGTCTTCAGCTGGCAGATCGGCTGCCCCGCAGAGTCCCAGGATGGCTTCATGCACAAGAAGCCTTCGTGCACGTGTGCCTGGGCAAGGAGGACTGAAGAACTGGTGTAGCAGGTCTGTGATCTCCCTGTATGGCGGTGGCAGAGTAGCCAGACACTGTAGCCTGTGGCTCAGGACTCCAGGAGCGAATGAGGCAGAAGCAACTTGGTCTTTTATAATCCAGCCCCAGATGTTACCTCGTGTCATTTCTACTATGCACTGGTAGAAGCAGTCACAAGCCAGCCCAAATTAAAGGGACGGGCACATGATCCCTACCTTTGGGTGGTGGGCGTGCCAAAAACTTCACAGCCATGACTTTAAACAGCCACAACTGGATAGACTGGACGTAGACCTCTGGGAATGTCCTCAAAGGACTGGAACTCAGGGGCCCTTCCCAGATTTCATGGACTGCCTGAGCCATCAGAATTCATACCATGCCCAAGGGAAAGGCAGCCAGAAAGAGGCTGACCTAAAGAGGGTGAGTTAGATGTTTTTAATCATATAATCAAGTCCTACACACTGGATATTATAGCAATGTCATACTTTTCTTTCCAGTTTTCAACATCTCTTTGTGGAGACCACACAGCTCTAGAGTGAACAATTAAGCAGTCTATGATTAACTGCTAAAATGAGAGCTGTAAACAGACAATAATCCATCCAGTATCCTGAAAGACCTAGGCGATTACAGAGTTTCCTCCAGAACTTTATCCTATAATCTATTTAGATGAAAAATAAAATTTACTAAGATGTAAGTTTTTAAGATACACAATTGAAAAATTCATGCTAAAATGCAAACAGATTACCTTAATATATATTCAACCCCTTGGCCCAAGCATATTCATTTCTACCACAAGTTCTGAAAACTAACTTTATGATATTAAAAGTGAATTTTTACCTTAAGCCTAACATGGAAATGGAATCTGGAAAAAAATAAGTACATGTATTTCTTTTACTCTGAGCTTTACTTAAGTTTTTAGTGATTTGAACGTTTAAACTTGTATTTTAACTTCCTCTGAAAACAATAGAAATATATTCCCACTCTGTTAAGCCTTATCACTCAGCTCCTATAGAGAAATCATTTCAACTGAAACAGTTTAGCAGCAAGGTTAAAATCCAATATTCTATCACTCGATGAAGTTTAGCATTTAGTAGTTGATAGATGTTACCTAGTCAGTGTACTTAAACTCTTTCATGCCCTTGAGCTAATGAATAACTCAAACTAAATAAATTCTTAATTTTGTTAAATGAGAAATTTACATTTAATCTTCTTTTCACACAGCAAACATAGATGGCTTAAAAAGTTACAAATGAGTAGAAACAATATAAATGTGTAGTTACCTATATAACAAAAGCCTAATGTGCTAAGTGCCTGACTGTTTGTTTGACCAGTCGTTATGATGCGCACTGACCACCAGGGGGCAGACACTCCGATTGGTAGGTTCGCTTGCTGCTGGGGTCCGGCCTATGGGGACTGGGCAAGATGGGCTGGACACGCCCTGGAGCTCTCTTGCAGTCCTTTTCCCTCTCCAGCCCCAATCGTGCACCCGTGAGGTCCCTCGGCCTGGCCTGAGGGGATCAGGCCAAACCAGCTCTCTGACATCCCCTGAGAGGTCCCAGATTGTGAGAGGGCACAGGCCAGGCCGAGGGCCCCCACCGGTGAACGAATCTGTGCACTGGGCCTCTAGTTTTATATAAAGCAGGAGGGGGGGGGGGGAGGGAATAATCAGTGTCTTGTACAAATTGCTCTAAAAACTCAAGTTCAGATTTCCCTTTCTAGTTGGCATTGGCTGAATTTCTGGATTCCACCAATTGTCTTCAAATTCTAAACAGTGAAAAACCACTTCCTTAGAAATAGAGAAAAAAAAAACTAAGTCACTTTTTAAAGCAATCAAAGCCAAACATCAGCCATCATTGCTGGGGAAATAAGGAGTCAAGACTTGAGTAAAGCCTCAAAGACATAACTATAAACTTCTACACACCACACCTTAGCTGTACTTTCCAACTAAAGGCTCCCAAGATGATGTGGTTTCTAAGTGAATTACATTCATATTTTCCCATAATCAAAGGATATAGATTAAAGTTTGATTTCCTAATGTTGCGCCTGCAAGAGGCATTCTCACATAAAAATGAGGCTATTGCCTGGGTAAATGGAGACAGCAGCTCAGAAAGTGATCAAAATCATGAAAAAGTCATTTTGCAAATTATTTGGGGACATGCGAGCACATTTCATGGAGAGCCCCAAGGTCACTGCGGGAGAAAAAGTATTGATTTATGTATTTGCCTTGTGCTTTGCCATATTTTTTTTTTCATTAAAATGGCTTCACATGGAGATCCATAAAGAAAAGCAAGGCTGTACCAAAGAAGGAAAAATAAGTTGTCAATTTTAACCTTCAATGGAATAGTTTCAGCCACTTAAAATTCCTTTTACCTTTAATT